ACGGGATGAGCCCGAGTAGATTTCAGACAAGAAAACAAAAGCACCGCCCAAGAATGGAACAGCAATGGCGAACCAAGGCAAGTAACAAATGCACAAAATGATGATACCAATGATCATGGCAAGAGGGAATATGAACAAACGCAACTGCTCACCAATCTCGTTATCCAAAGAGTCAGTGTCCTTCGTGAATCTGTTGAGCACTCTACCCAAGGGGTTGGTGTCCATAAAGCTCATTGGGCAGTGCAACACCTTCTCCACAGCCTTGACGTTCAAAAGCTCAGCCGATCTGTTGTTCATGTAAGCCAACATGGTGAACTGGACACCGGTGAAGAAGACAGTCAAGAAAGCGAAACCAACGTAGAAACCAACGTAGAAGTTGTCGCTCAACTGACGGAAACGCTTCTCCATCCAGAAAGACAACCAGGTGTTGGTAAACAACTGACAGAAGGTAGCAATGGCCACAAGGAAAAGGAACACTGGTGCTGCGGTCCAGCCGAAAATACCAGCACCCAAGTTGATGTAGTTCTTGTAAACATTCCACGAGATGGCATTGACAGCCTTGTCCTCGTCTTCAATGGTACGGCCGATAATATCACCAGCAGCTCCACTCTGAGGAAGCACAGACTGAGTAACAGCCAACTTAACCTCCTCTTCGTTCTCGCCAACTCCACTTGGCAAAAGGCACACATCTGGAGTGGGCTCTTCTTCCTGTGGTTCAGGGCGAGGAGCAGCTGCATTGTCGTGGCTGAAGTCAACCAACTTCTTGAAACCAGAGTTTCTAGCGGCAAGCTCAGCAGCAGTTCCAACATCAATGGTACCGTCACCGTTCAAAAAGACAATCTTGTCGGCAGTAGCCACCAAGGAAAGCTGGTGGGTAGCCAAGATTCTCGTCTGGTGCTTGAGGAAACCAAAGAACAACTCGTTGGTGATCTGCTTACCAACACGGGCATCAACGGCAGACAAGACATCGTCGAAAAGCATGGTGCTTCCACCACGGTAGACGGCACGAGCCAAGTTGATTCTGGCTTTCTGGCCACCGGAAAGCGTGACACCCTTTTCACCAATTTCGGTCTGGTCACCATGCAGCAATTCCTTGATATCGTCCTCCAAGCAACAAGCCTTGATAACGGCTCTGTAACGGCTTGGGTCCATAGGACGGTTGAACAAGATGTTCTGACGAACAGTGGCGTTCTGGATCCATGGAATAGAACAGAGCAACAACTCCTTGTTAACGTCAATGGAACCCTGGCCAGGGTTGGTCAACTTCATGAAACCAGCCATGGCATTGAGAAGAGACGTCTTACCGGAACCAATAACACCTGTAATCACCACAAAGTCACCGTCATTGACAGTCAAGTTAATGTTGGTGAGACCAGGGAACGACAGCTTCATGTCCAGAGTACACAGCTCCACAGAAACACGAGTTTCATTCTTGCTCTTCTTGTCGGTAGATTGACGAGGAGACTTGGAAGAAGTAGCGTCCCAAAGCGAACTGTCATCATCGTCGTTCTGGAACAGCTCCCACATAAAGTCAGCGTTTCTAATGTCAATCACCACGTTGGTGTCCTTCTTCTCCTCCATGCCGTAGTAAGTGTCGCTGTTGAAGGAGTCCTGGTCGCCCTTGAAGTCGAAACCAGTGACAGACTCATCAGAACCAACCAAGTACTTCTCCTCAGCACGCAACTTGTCGTCCAAGGAGGTGTCGTACTCGGAAGCCGAAAGGAAGTCCTTGCATCTTCTGAAACCAATCATAGCATCAGCACCGGTAGCGAGCGCAATAGGCAAAAGCATGATTGCCTGGGCCAAAATGGAAAAAAGCGAAAGTGAAGAAAACACACGGCCAGCGTCTCTCATGTCACCAACCTTCCACATAGTAACGAACGAGATCATGGAAGTGAGGGTGGGCAAAGTGACGGCGTAGGCGGTGATGAAGTTTCTCAACACCTTGATGGTGAAAAGGTACCTCATCTCGGTGTTTCTGACCTTGGTGATGCTAGCCTTGTAGGCCAACTCCCAGGCGTAGAACTTGATGATCTTGAGGTTGTTGAGCACCTCTCTCATGAGCGAAATACGCTTGTCAGTGTACTTGACCACGGTTTCTCTGGTGAAAAACAACTTAGACGTGAGAAGCACACAAATGACAAGAGAGACAATGAAAAGGCCAATACCCACAAGAGAGGTGACACCAATGTTGGTTAAAAGCAAAACCACGGCGATAATCACGGGAATAGGGAAACAAACCACAAGGGGCTGGAAACCAATGGCCAAGTCGATTCTCGACAAATCCGTACTCATGAGCGAGGTGATTCTGCCGGTAGAAAACCGGTGTTTGGCCTTCAGAGACAACTTGAAGGATTTTATGAGCACGTCTTTCGTCAAGATCGACTTGCAGGCGGCACCGGCCACCATGGCGTTGTGGAAAAAGTGGTTCAAAAGCAAACCATTGATGAAAATTAAAATGACGGCGCCAACAGTGTAGCCGATACCCTTGTTGTAGGTTGTCTCGATACCGAGGAAACGGAACTCGACAAAATCAATCAAGCGTCTGGTGATCAAGGGCGAGAGGGCCTGGCAAGTGAAAGAAAGAGCCAAGAAGATGCACGAGAGGGAGTACTGGATCTTGAAGGTTTTGAAAAGCGCCAAGGGCACCGCAAGGAAAGGCCATTCCCACAGGTCCATGTCCTTGCCCTTCTTTTCGTGTCTATCTCTCAGGGACTTCAAGTGGGCGTCCAAGTGGGCCCTGTACTCCTTGTGCATCTGTTCGACGGTCAAGTCGTCCGTCAAGTACCAGAGGTCATCGGGCTGCAATGTGCGCTTGTAACCTCTGATCAAGATGGGCCAAATCCAGTAAAAAACGGTCTTGTTGAAGATGTTGGTGGTTTTCCATGGGTATGGCTTTCTCTCCTCCGGGAGAGGCACTGGATCCACCGATCTGCCAAACATGAAGCTGAGCATCCGCTTCTCGTTGGTTTCCTGAGGCACAGCCTCGAGGTCGCCGTTGCCAGCGCCGGCGCTGGGCTTCTTCTTGGATTTGGGCATCTTTGGCTTTTTGGCCTTCTTCTTCTTCTTCTTCTTCGGTATCTCCACCGGAGGATCGGCCATCAGATCGTCCAGGTTGTTTTCCACATACGTGGTCGTTGTGTCCGAGTGTTCTGTGGAGATGGGATGCAAATGAGGGGTGCCTGCTGGGATGCCCTGGTGTCTTTGTTGTTGTTGGACGTAGTAGTGGTAGGATGGGGTTGATACAAAGTTGTCGGACTCCTGGGCTGGAGAGTCGTAAGGGTTTCTTGTGTCGCTGCGTCCGTACACGTTTCTGTAGTAGTCGTGGTTGGACATGATGACAGGGGTTTGCTGGCGAGAGCGTCAAAAAAAAAAAGAATAGGATACAAGGTGTTCGGGGGAAATGTGAGATACTATATAGGGCTGACTACTTCTGGGGCTGTAAGATGGAGATGTGTCTTGCCTAAAAGGGGAGGGCACAACAGGTAAAGGCGAGACGATCTGTGGGCGCATGCACAGTATATACCTAATGTGGGAGTTTTTCTGACGCGCGGACTGCACACAGACCGGCATCCTGCCATGGTCACCGATCTGTGTAGCGGACGGCGCAATGATTTTTCTCTGTGTGCAGTACAGGGTGAGGCGCCCTGCAAAGATTTCTCCGCACTGCGAGAAAGCTCATGAAAAAGGTCCCTTCATTCTCTGGTGGAGCATCTCGAAGCCTGGCCGATTTATACATAATCATGAAAAAAAGGAAAAAGCCGGACGTTGGGTGGATTTGGCCGTTGCCGGCGGGACAGACTATTTATTGCTTTTTTTAAAGTCAAGTCGTCGTCGTCTTTTCGCAGGCCCCACTATTTTCATGTCTTCCTCTTTCAGAACCAGGGCTCCGGTGATTCTGGCGGAACACCGAACAGGAAATGTCCGTTTTGCAGAGGATGTAGGTCCGCTTGGGAAATAAGTGGATTTGTGCCACGCCGCAGCCGGCTCTGTCAGATAGCCTTTTCTGCGGCTCTTTGGAAGGCTGAAGCTGGGAATGAGCGGTAATTTTTCGGGCCATCTCTGTCAAACAGTAACACACTTCAAATTTTTAAATCACTCTACAGATTTTATAACGTCTTTTCAATTTCAATCACTTTTTGCTACAACTTCTTTTTTTATCACGCAAGTCTCAGGGAGGAAGGAGGATGGCCGGATCAGTCGGTTGGGATTGTTCAGGCTTCATTCAGGCATTATCGCAGCTGAAGAATGGCTTCCCCGTCCTTTGTTCGCACCTCGTACTAACCCATAATGCCCCTGGTTGCCTGGCGATTTTGCCCATTTTGCTTGGATTCCCCTTGGCCTGGGCGATTTGGCGTATTGAAGGGGGCAATTTTTTAAATATAATTCAAAAAAAAATCGTAATTTTTTGCTGTTCATGTCTTTCAGTTTCACCTCCTCCAACGGCGCTCGTGTGACAGGATCGCCGAAAACGGCAATTACTGGACTTTGCCTACTCGGTTCGGCCCATTGTGTTTCTATCCGGAATCAGGGTGGAGTGGAAGCGAGATCGTCGTGATTGTCGTGATTCGGCTGGTATCGGTAAATTTTCTAGATTTTCTCGTGGGACACAATAGCACCTTCTTACTTTTCCAAAAGCGAAGAACTCCACTTCTTCGTCTTTGGACTTCTCTGCTTTTGTCGGCCTTTTTTTTGTCAAGGGCTTTTTGGGTAAGCCCCTGGAAACAGCCGTTTCCTTCTCCTTTCTCTTTTTTTGCTTTTTTTGACTTTTTTACTTTTTTCGTCGTTGCTCCTGGCAACATGCCTGTCAATCCACCATACTTGCGCTTCACATTCCACCCTATGGTAATTGGCTTAGCATACCTACTCACTACTGAAATTTGCTCGTACGAGGCTGTGGACTTAACACATCCAGTGCCTCGCTACATCGGTGCCTTGCTGGAAACTCTTCATGCTACTTCATATCTGGCACATGACTCACCCCCCTTCTGCTGTCGCCCCTAGCTGCTGGGCTCGGGAATACTGAGAAACTTGTACTTCTTCTTGGTGATATCATAGCAGTCCTTCAATGCATCGTCGTCCACGAACCAGGTGACCCTGCCGGCGGCTCCCTCGTTCACAATCGAGCTCGGCAACCCCTTCTCCGGTCTCTCCATGATGGTCCGCATAATGGGCGCTTTCGTCAAGCCCTCCACGACAAATGTGACTCGGTGGGCGTGGCAGATGACAGGAATCGACAAGGTGATTCTGTTTTCAGGACCCAGTGGCGCCTTCTCCACCGACATGCACCACGCCAACTTCTCTCGCAACTGCTCGCCAAAATTGGGGAACAACGATGCAATGTGGCCGTCGGGAGCACACCCGAGAAGCAAAAGGTCAAACATGGGCAACTTGACCGAGTCCTTCTTGGCAAAGTTGTCAATGAGCAACTTCTCGTAGGCGTCCGCACACTCTTGCGGGTCCAGAATCAACAGCTCGTCAATGTGGTACACGTTGGGCTTCTTTTCGCTCTTGATCAAGTCAAAGATCTCCCGCTTGGCCAGCCCGTAGTTCGAGTCCAGGCTGTCAAAGGGCACCAACCGCTCGTCGGCAAAGTAGATATCCCACTTGTCCCATTCAATCTCGTCTTCCCTCGGCAACAAGCCAAGGTGCATGATCTTGATGAGCGATCCGCCGGAAATGGCAATCTTGAACCGTTGTTCGGCCTTCTTCTTGATCTCCTTCTTTCTTCTCGACGACACACGTTCGTCGCCGTTGGCTGTAGCAGCAGCATTCTGCGCCAGTCCGTTCCGACTGAAGGACGGTCTGGGCGAAGCGACACCCAGAATCAGCGCCAGCGAAACCTCACTAGTCAAAGAAGGCCTTGAAGCCGCCTCCTTTAGTTTGGCAATCGCCTCCTTATCTAAGGTGTTGTACAAGGTCATGTTTTGGGCCAGGATCACGTGGTCGGCCACGGCGTCGGCAACGCCTTCGTAGCCGGCAAACGAGTAGATCAATGGTACGGTGGTTGTCATGTTGGAAAGTTACCTGGAAGGGCCAGGAAAACAGGGGCCAGGGTTGCTAGTTATATGTGGCTGGGTGGCTGTTTGGGAAAAAAGGGGTTCACGTGACTAGGCGGTAACCGGTACACGGTGTTCTGTGGCTTTAGGCAGCTGGTAAAATTGGTCACTGTTTGTTGCAGTAGTTGCAGTAGGTTCGAGAAAGGGTGTTCCGTTGTGAGTAACAACAGCGGGGGTCACGTGACCAAAAAGCGTTTGGACCTGCTGGCTCTGGCGGGTCCACCGGCATGTGTGTGGGTTTCGGAAATTTTTAAGGTCACCTACGAATTAAAATTTTCTGGGGGAAATCACGCTGCATCATCGAAAGTATGACGGTTTGAAAGAAGGTCAAGGAGGGCCGAGGTGGGCTTCTGTGCAGTACGACGATCCCGAGTGCCTTGGTTGCCTGTCATACTAGCCAGGATAGAAGATGGAGTTTTTTTTTCTGGTTGACAACGAAGATGACCAATGACCGAGGATATGGAGATTTTGGGTACTTTTTGGTTTTGGGTAAGCAAGAGGATTTTGGATTTTTGCAGATTTTCAATTTTTTGGTTTGCTGTAGACGAGCCAAGTGGGTCGAGAAAAGTGACGCACTGAGGTGGTCTAGGTGGATTCGATGAGGAAAGTTTTGAGATTGAAAAATATCGATTGTGCATAATTTTTGGGTAATTTTCCGATTATTTTCAGAATCGAATTTTTCTGTCAGTGCAGGGTTCGCTTTGATCGATGACAGGATGGTCAGTAAGAGGAAAGAGGAGAGTTGTAAAGACAGGCTGAAATGATTGGGAAGCTTTTTTAGGATTTTTTGAAACGGTCATGGTTGGTCAATTTCGGTCATCAAATGAAAGTGGAGGTTGAAGGTTGGGAGTAGGTTTTGTGATATCGAATGATGGCCCAGCCTCGTCTGGTTCCTGCTTTTCTGGAACAAGCCGAATAAGGTTTCGACCTTCTTTGCGTGATATCCGGGGGTTCCGATCAGTTGATGGTAGGAGAAGATTTGGCCGAAATGCAGAAAATCGGTAATTGGTCGATTTGTGAGTCAGAAGATTGTGAATAGATGCCTAGATTGTAGATAGAGTCGACTCACTGATGGTCTAAAGCAAGTCATATTTGTACGGCAACCAACAAGCCGATACGTATTTATTGATGGAATAAGACTACGTGTAATCGTCACTTGAACTGATAGATCTCATGTTTGGGTTGTGGAAGCATTAGGTTGTGAATGAAAAGAGCTATTACCTCTGTCCGTGATGTGATCAAGTAACAAAAGACCAAGACCATACTCCTCCTTGTCATCCCCTTATATAGATATGTAGCATAGATATGTAATTCCAAGGAAAATCATTCTTTTCTCCTTCTGAATTCTTTATCGATCAATGCTGGTTTTGAACTCGAGGACTTGGCGATCCTGCGGCTTCACTTGTCAAATCAACCTCGGTAAAGGGTCAGTAAAACTAGGACATTTTGAGTTTCGAAGAATGTGAATCCCGCTTCTTTTTCAATTCTCGTCGAATCTTTCTTTCAATTCGTCCTTGAAAACTAAGGGTTCCAACCTTGAGAAGCTCCTGCGAGATAAGAACCCACGCATTGACGTTTTGCATCAAGTAGATCGGGTGATACACCTTCGCGTGCAATGTTGCCCTGCAAAACTCTGTAGTTTGTGTGTGGCTTGGGATTTCGTTTCTTTGCCAATCTGGCACACTATTCTTTGTTTAGGGGTGGTCAACTGAACAAGAATTGAGTATCATCTGAGTCCTTCTGTTCTCTGGCTTTTCTTGAGGCCTGAAAACAAGAATGGAAATGCACAATCTATTCATTAGGAACTATTCATTTGTGCTTACATCAAGGGCTATTGATTTGTAGAAGTACCACGAGATACTCTCCTTTCGTCATCGAACGTTACAGGGAAGCCTTTCATGGCACTTGACCCCAGAGCAGTGCTTTTCAGGGAACACAGAACAAGGAAGTTCGCCAAGCTATTTCAAGAGTATTGGCTCAAGCAGGAGAAATGTCTAATCCTATGACCTCGCCTATCTCACGTTTCTAGGCTGAACTGTGTTTCCGTCTGCCAGCTGACCGAGCCATTTCAACATTACCTCTTTTTTATAATTGAATGGTTTGAAAAAAGCAGAGAAAGAAAGTGAATTGTTATGTCGTGCCACTAATACCTTGGCTACCTAGAGATCACTAATGTCGGAGTGAGATGAATCCTTGAGCATGGAATGGTCAAAACATCAGGTAAACTTCCAAGTCAGCACATAAAGAAAGCCAAGTATCTCATATAATGATAAATGAATACTTAATACAAAATGATAATCTCTAGGTAACTCCAGAACTGGCGATATTGCTTTTAACTTCATTAAAACAGAGCTTTTATCTTTATATATGCCTAACTGCTCAACAAAATATACCGTACTCAAATTAAAAAAATTATGTGAACCTAATGAACCCTTTAAACTAACACCAAAAGCTATGTATGCTCCAGAATCTCAAAATTTACCTTAAGGACCTCCCCGAATACACGGTAATGTTACAAAGTGGCACCCGTACACCACATAGTTAAACGAATCTGGGGTAGATTAAGGGTTCGCCTTCAGCGCATTCCATTGCTTTTCCACCAATCCAAGCCCACAATGTCTGATACATACTATAAACTAACCTTAGAGCTTCTCAAAAGCTATATCACCGAGCGCTATGAATCTCAAGTTTCTGTGAAGGTGGATACACCAGAATTCAACAAATGGGAGGCTGGTCCTTTCATAGTAACAGTATCCGAGATCTCCCCTAATACAACCCTTATAAACTTTGTGAGGGGAAGCGATAGCAAGTCAGTGTCTATTGAGTGGGATAAGTGGAATTTGGATTTACCCGTGAAAGAGATATCTCCTGACTTGACGGATCAGTTCTTCATCTTCCTAGATATGAGACTCGATCCTCCTAAGCTTAAACGTGACGAGGAACACAAGGAGAAGGAGAGTTTCACGGGACCACCACCTCCTACATCGGAACTGGGCCTTCTGAGATCATCAGAGCCTAGTTTGAACAGAGAGTCTAGGAAACCAGCTGATATGCCAGATTTCGAGGACGAGTATGAGGTGCTTAAATCTTCTGACAGAACAGGGGAGCTGTCGTCTTTTGCACCAATTGGAGACCGTGACTTGAACCCACCGGGGCTTCCTCGTGACCCGCTTATGAAACCCTACATTGACCCATTGGCTGCTCCTGAAGGAGGTATGCATCCTACTATGAACCATCCGTTATTTGGCAGAAACCAGGGCAATTCTTCCAGACGAGGCGTTCCTCCTGGAGCAAGGTTTGATGATCCTATGGGCGAGGACAATTTGGACGATATGGGCATGGGACTTCCTGGCAACCTACGTAGAGGAGGGGGTCCCGGCTTTGGGCCCGGCGGACCAGGCTTTGGACCAGGAGGTTCAAGCGGTTTTGGCGGCGGAGGGTTCGGCTTCTAAACTATAGCATGCATTTATTATAATCCTTATACCACCCTATCGTAATTCTCGTAATCAATGGTCAGACCACGCATGGCCAGACGGACGTTGCGGGCAAACGTGGCTGTATTCTTTGCCAAAACGTTTGCAGCAGCCTTGTTCAATGGGTCATTTGGGTTGGGTTCCAAAAAGAGGAAGTTGAGCCCCAGGATCACCGAATTGAGCGAAAGCACAGGCAGCCAGTCCTCTCGCAAGATGTTGAGACACACATTTCCCTCCAAATCTATGTTGGGGTGGTAGATTTTTTGAGTACACTTGATCTTGGGTGGATCGATGGGGAAGTTGTCTCCGATCTCCACAGTGAAGGAGAAGACACCACCATTGTAGTAGCCCTCGGCTGGACGGATGAAGATTCTAAAGTTGAAAAGGTCACGAGGATCAGGGAACTCAACCTTCACAGTGGAGGGCAATTCGAGCTCAGTGACATCTTTTTGTAGTCTGATCTGAGCAGCGCTTACCTTACCCAGTGGGTTAGCAGCTGTGGATGCAGCCGCCTCGGGACTTTGACGAGCCTGTTCCTGCCTTTGTTTCTGAAGCTGGCGGATTTTAAGCTTTTGTTAGTAAATTGTGAATTGTTTGGTTTGCACGAGCACTTACCATCTGATATCGTAGCAAGATTGGTAATGCGACCACCATGTAGATATGGTAGGATGGAGGTGCACGGGTGCAAGTTGCAACACCATCAACAGATGAACGGATTGTCGTTCGTTATGGCCGTTTTGAGGGGTTACTCTGCGACCTCTTCGTCGTCCAGTTCTTCTCGGTATCTTGCAAATCTGGTGTGGATTTTGTGGTACTTCTTCATTGCAGACAAAAGGCGCTCAGTGCTAGCGTCATCTCTAGCATTGAATATATCTTCTTCAGGCTGCCTGAGGATATAAAGTCGGTGCTTAAAAGCATCCTTGTCATTTGTTACTTTGTAAAGACTTTCGTAGGGCGAAATGTAGGCACACTTGACCTTCACTAGCCATTCCAAGTCTTCCAACACCACATCATCTGTTCCTGACATCTGCGGACCGTACTGCATTTCCGTCACGAACACCGAATGCTTGTTCCATTGTAAAACATCTCTGTTGAACAGATCCACTGCAAATGGGTCTGAATCTGCAGTGAGCCATACAGAGTAGGTTTCCCATATAGTGATATCGCTGAGATGGCTTCTGCAAATTTGCCTGATTTGAAGGCCCGCATATTCAAAAAGCTCTTGTTTTTGGCTAGCGTGAAGAAGTCGAACCAACCACTGGAAGGTATACCCAGCACAGTAATTGGCAAAATGCACCTCTATGGATCGAAGTAAGCGGTGTATGAGAGTCTTAATAACCTCCAGATCTTCAAAGAGCGGTACCATCAAAAACCTTATCCAGTGAAATAGCATGGAGCTTTTGTTGACTCGTTTGAGTTTGGATGTTGCAAGGAAAGTGACATAGTCAAAGTCATTCTTGATGATTTCTTCGCCTCTACCATGAAGCTCAAAAACGACTTCTCGATGTAGTCTCCAGATAGTCGAATGTTCGTTTGTGGTCAACATTATGGAAGTTGTGGCGTAGTAAAGTGCCCATAGCTCGGTTCCTGTAAGCAGCTGCAAGTCAAACTTGTAGCCCAATTTCTCAAAAACAGCATGTGCTTCGGCAAATATCATAAGGTATGTTTTCTTGGACATTGCAATGTCTAGCGTATCGGTTTCAGCCGACTCGTGGAAAAGAATCTCTCCGTCTGGGGCATCATGTATTATCTGTAATGAGCTGATAGTGCACTTTGTGGTGACAACCTGGCTATATAAGCCCCGCAGAAGCTTGAATGCATCGTCTGTAAGCCATTGAGACATTTTATAGCTTATTTCTGACGATTTGTTGCAGTAGATCACACATATATCTGTAAGTTGGAAGTGTTGATATCTGTAGATGTACGGGTGCACCTACGTATCTGAGGGCATCACCTACTACGATATAGTACTTGGAATACATAAATTGAAAGCAGATGCACTCCTCAAAGCTCATATCCCCAGACGAGCTGCTTATAGCGCCAGACGTGCTTCTGGAGGCCGTTTATGCCAATACTAAGCTCGATTTTCTTCTTCGAAATACCCAAAAGAAGATAGATCCAAAGCCTCAAGTGAAGCAGTCCACGGATCTCGTCAAGGTTGATGATTCCATGGATATCGAACAAAAGCAGCAAATTGAACCTTGCAGTACTCTACGAAAAGTGCTTTTGGGTGCACACGACGGCTGGGTCCGTTCCTTAGCTATAGATCCAGTCACCAATGGATGGTTCGTATCTGGAGGAGGAGATAGCAAAATCAAAATATGGAACTTGGTTTCAGGAACGCTAAAAGCGACTCTTCCAGGGCACATTATGTCCGTGAGAGCCCTTCAGGTATCGAAAAGGTACCCATACCTCTTTTCAGGTGCAGAGGATAAGACAGTCAGATGCTGGGATCTCGAAAGGACCAATTCTCCCGCAGGCTGCCAAATCAGAAACTACCATGGCCACGTTGGCGGTGTTTACGCTATGGATCTACATCCAGAACTCGATCTTCTTTTTACTGGGGGAAGAGATGCTGCTATCAGAGTGTGGGACATACGAAGCCGAACCCAAATCATGGTTCTTACGGGACATCGAGGAGATGTTTCAAGCATTGTCTCGCAGATTGGTGATCCTCAAATATGCTCCTCGTCCATGGACGGAACTGTCAGACTATGGGATATCCGGAAACAAAAAACCCACTTGACTCTAACACAGCACCGTAAGTCGGTTCGTCTGTTGATAATGCACCCTCACGAAATGACCATGGCATCTTGTGATTCCACCGGCAGCATCAAACAATGGCTCCTTCCAGGCGGAGAGCTCCTTAATGAATTTGGTGAAACTGGCACCGAAACAATGTCTCCAGTCATCAACACACTCGCTTTGAACCCTGCCTCCAATGAGCTTTTTGCAGGTCACGGTGACGGCAGAATGGCGTTTTACGATTACGAAACCGGACAAAACTTGTCCACTATTCCTCCAAAGCCTGCCACAGCAGACGACACTTGTACTATATATACTGCTGCCTACGACATGCTGGGATTGCGTCTTATTACTGGCCTGAGTGACAAGAGCATTAAAATCTGGGGGACCGAAGAGCGGCCTACCAGCCAAAGCGAAGCTGATTGGCGGTGAATGAGGGCGGCGTCCATTGGAGCTTCTCTGGATCGAGCTCGTGCTTCTTCTTTTCCTTCACCTTCTTGACCAATTTATCGTACAATGCCATGATTTGGTCCGTGATGACAATGATATGCTGACCCTTGTGGTATTTGATGATTTGAAGCGTCGATAGCGTGTGGAGAACGTCTGTTGTCGTCATGCAAGTAATGGCTGAAATCTCCTCGATGGTGATTTCCGAGGCTCCGTTCCCAGCGGTAGCAGCAGCTCCGTTGGCTCTTGGTGGAGGCAGCGCCGAGTCTTCCCGCAGGCTCAGTTCTCGCTGGTTATTCTTTTTGTATAAATGGGGGTTGCACCTTTCGACGAGGAGCTTGACAAGAACATCTGTCCAGAATGCTCTGTACGATAATAGACCCAAGTCGGAAAGCGGTTTTTCCGGCGATCCTGCCTTGTTCTCGACATTCGACAACATGTACGAAAATTGGATGAGCAACTTACCGTAACCCTTTTTCTGGTAACACGGTAGCGTCAAAATACAAGCCACGTTGTACCCGTCTGCGGATTCTTTTTCCTTGGAGAAGTAGCCCACCACATGGTGGCCCTGGGGTGATCTGATGGTCATGATGTAGAACAAGAACGGATCCACATCGTAGTAGAGCGTTTTGTGATCAAGGAAAAGCTTCGAAAGAAGACACAAGTTTCTGCACCACGTTCTCTGCTTACGCCCGTCAATCTCCCAGAAGCTCACCTTCTCGTCTCTGTAGATCTCGTTTCCAGGAGGGTGCTTCATGGAGCACTTCGCCCTGTGTCTCTCAAACTGCTTCTTGGAGCCAAAGTATGAAAGCGTGAAATCACAAATGAAGATCTCGTCCTCCTCCGTGAGCTCGATAGGGTACGGTGAGAAGTACCAGGGTTCTATTATGTGCTCACCCAAGATAACACTTGAAAGGTTTCTCACTCTGGCCACCTCGGAGTGGTTCTGAATCATGGATCCGCTTGTCCTAAGCTTCTTTATCTCATCCTCTCGGCTCACTTCCTCTCCTGGGCGCTTGAGACCCTGAACATTAAGGTTGTCCAAGTCCATTTCATCGTTTTCAAGCGGGGTGGCGCTTTCCTCCTTATCGGACGCTCGGGGCTGTGGAGTCGATTTTGTGGACGACTTCTTGCTGGTTTTGCCCGTCTTTGTCCCCGTCTTCAGCTTCAGCTTCTCGGGTTTCTTCTCCTCCTTCTCCACCGGAGGAATCATCAGCTTCAGAAAATCAATTTTGTCCGGCAGAATCCACTCATCCAAACGCTTGTTGTAATCCTGGTAATGAACATAGAACACCTTTTTCCCCTTCTTGGTGTTCTGCTGGAGAATCTCCGCTAACCTCTTTCCATCCTCCTTGTTGACAAATACCTTACACCCTGAGATGATTTCATCAACGGTGAATTTAGGATCTGGACCTTCGTCTTCCTCAGCTTTGATCTGGATGGATGCTCCAGAGTCCACCACAGGCAGCCGTGTCTTCTCCTTTTCGGTCATGGGGTTGGTGATGGTGTTGATCTTTTTGCTACGCACTTTCGCACCTACTACAGTACCAGTTGGTCTGGATAAATAACTATGTACTGGGTGGGGCAGAGTCTCACTCTTTTCTCCACGTGACGGCCTCCTCGCTGGGCTGCTCGACTTTTTGCAGCAAAAGAAGATAGCCGATGTTGTATTTTTCAAAGTTCATGATGAACTGGGTGAGCTGTAGCCTCAAGATGTTCAACTCGTGCTTGACGAGCTCGTCCTTGTTTGGCGCATGTGACTCTTCCAAGTCTGCGTATTTTTTAACGTCTCTGATCAAGTTACGCTCAAGACAAGCGTAGAGAAGCTCCTGTTTGGTCAAATCCCACACATTGCCGTTTCCATTGAGTCCACTGAGGTAGTAGTTATCCACCGTGAGGAAATTGTAGTGGGCCTGTAAACGGTTGCGCAAAACCAGCTCAGGGAAAAGCTGCGTTGGGATGTATTTTGTCTTGAGACGGAGAGCATCAGCTAACGATGCAACCTGCTCCAGTGTCAAGTTGTATGCTGTTTTCGCAGCCAATTCCTCCAAGTCAGTATTCTCAGGCACAGACTTTGCAACCTTGTCGCTGTTTTTGGCAGACCAGAGACGAGGGAGAAGCGAGGGGAGAATACACGTCAGCGGGGTGATTTCGGGAAATGCATAGCAAAGCAATGGCGTCATCTCCATGAAAATGAGGAAGATCACCGAGAAGGTGGGTATTTTGATGAAATCGCTAGGGGTCCGTTTGAACAACAAAAAGTCCGATCTCAGCAAATTGAACATTTCAGGCGTGTACACCTTGAGAGCCGAGCCCTTGTTGTGGTCCACAGCGTCTCCAGCTGTGTTTTCGATATTGGTCCTGTTTTCCACACGCTTCTGGTACAATTCCTGGGCCATTTCTTGCGTCAATGTGGCAAACGAAGGAACTTGGATATCTACCGTTTTACCTTCGTTGTTGATCTGGTTTGTCACTTTGAAATCAGACTTTCTGAGTGCCCTGAGTGTCTTGTGATTATTCCAAACCAGCTTCACTCCGTGCTTGTAGAACTTGACAAGCTCTTTGGCGTATCCGAAGGATTGAGCGGCTTTCAATGACCATCCCTCTTTCCCACTTTCCTTAGCAATGTCTCTGTGTAAATCAACCTTGGGTCTTATCGCCAATGGAAGGGTTTTCATATTGTTCACTTCAGATTTCGAAGCAGGCTTCCAAAGTGCCTGGAGGAGTTGGGACCGCTGAAGCTGCGTATCAAAGACATGCTTCAGTTTGCCAATAGAATAAATGCCATTTTCAACGGCTTTCAAGTTCATTCCTTGTGGCTGCAAGACTAAGGAACCGTTGCTTTGAGCGAAGATAGTGCACACTTACACCCGTACACCTCGCCTTAACCACTATGTATGGGATTCAAGAATTTACTCCACGATTCAGCACTTTTTTCATAATCATGCTGTATATCGAGCCGAGAAAGAGGATCGTGACAAAAGACGATCTTGCAATCTGGGAGAAATCACAAACGCACGAGGATTTGTTAAATTTCATCGTGGATCTCCAGAACCTGGTTGAAGGTCTCACTAATCAAGCCAAGGTTCACGAAAGCGATGCTATCAAGGAGCTTGTGGCTCAACTTGACAAAATCTTGGAGTTGGTGGATAAGCATCCGGTTTTGAAGGAGAGGGACATTTCCAGATTCGGCAAAAGCGAGTTCTGTGACTTTTACGATGATATCCAGAAACAAGCACCTTCCATGTTCTCGGGCCTAGTCCAAGATAAAGAGGCCGTGGTGGAGCTTGCACGCTATTTTGGAGAGTCTTGGGGCGACAGAACACGTATAGACTACGGATCGGGACACGAGTTGAACTTTTTGTGCTTTTTCTATTGTCTACACAAGTTGAACGTTATCACCAAGGACGACTACCCAGCACTCGTTCTCAGAGTGTTTTGTAAATACATCAGCATCATGAGACAGCTTCAAAAGACTTACTGGCTAGAGCCTGCTGGATCGCATGGTGTGTGGGGTCTCGACGACTACCACTTTTTGCCATTCTTGTTCGGAGCTTCCCAGCTAGCTTCCCACCCACACATGAAGCCCAAGTCAATCCACAACAAGGAGATGGTTGAGAATTTCTGGGAGCAGTATATGTACTTCGAGTG